TCCCAGTGGACTTCTGATAGTACTCTGGTGAGTTCAGAACCCCTGCTCCAGAACCCAAACCCAGTGTGACTCAGAGCTTTTGCTATGTGGTCAGCAGAGGCAGATGGGCACCCAAGGCCTTCGTAAGCAGTGGCTATCCAGAGGAATGAATAAGCATTTTGTGGAACAATGGCCATGCTAAAATCATGAGGAGAGCAGCCTTGGTCTTAACAGTCTTAACGGAGACCTAGTTGAATAAGCAGCCATCTTCCCTGAGTCTCGCTTTCTTGTTGGTGCAAACAAAGAAGAGCTGAGACCCCAGGAAGGGCACTCACCAACCCCAGTCTTCAGGAAACTCCTCCTAGCAGGCTAGTGCAGTCCTCACTGGCCTGTGACCCCTGTGAGGCAAAGCTCTAGGCCCAGAGGAGAGTTCTGCTAAGCGGTCAGTTCTGCTTGCATCTAGTTATCCAATCACCTTTGTAGGTGCAGTTAAATTGAGACCAAGTGACAGCTCAGGGCCCCTGGCATGCATAAGGCCATAGAAAATTGGAGTGGGTCCTTTGGTGCATCCAGGAGCCCAGAGCTTGGGGCAGCCCGGGAGAGGGAAGTACACACTTCTAGTGCCAGAAAGCATGTGCGTCCCAAACCATTCACAAAGCCATCAAGCTTCGAACCCCGGGAACTTTTGAACTTGACAGGGTATATGTACTTCCAAAGAAGTACCCAAATCCTGCTTCACAGAGGCCTGGAGACCCACCTACCCACCCACCCCCCAATCTGGTCTGCACATCTGCAGCATCTATCAAGCAAACTCCCTGAACTGGAGAAGGTCTTACTGATCTCCAGCTCCAAATACCCGCTGCACATTTAGAACAAAAAGATTCCCCAATCTAGACCAACCCTAACTCAGAGCCATTCTAGCTCCACCTCCTCTCCACAGGGCACCTCAGGAGCCTGCTCCATCCCCAGGGACAGGGGTAAATAGAACAGAACCACTGCTCACCTGAGCAGTTGCAGAGGGTTTCAACCAGGACTCAGCGCCCTCTCTTTGCAACACAACTGAAATTGCAAGAAAGAAAGGAAGACGAAATGGAAGAGAAGTGGAAGGGAGGAGAGAGGAGGGGAGAGGAGGGGAGGAAATGGGAGGAGAGGGGAGGGGAAGGGAGGGAAGAGGAAGGGAGGGGAGGGCATGGGAGGGAGGGGAAGAGAGAGAAGGGGAAAGAAGAGGAGGGGAGGGGAGAAAGGGAAGGGAGAGAAGGGAAGGGAGAGAAGGGAAGGGAGGGAAGGGGATGGGAAGGGAGGGGAGGGGAGAGGAGGGGAGGGAAGGGGAAGAAGAAAGGAAAAATGAAGAGAAAGAAAGAAAGAAAGAAAGAAAGAAAGAAAGAAAGAAAGAAAGAAAGAAAGAAAGAAAGCAGGCAGGGAGGGAGAGAGGGAAGGAGGAAAGAAGGAAGGAAGGAAGGAAGGAAGGAAGGAAGGAAGGAAGGAAGGAAGGAAGGAAGGAGCGATAGCACAGAGACTAGGGCGTTTGCCTTGCAGGCAGCCAACCCAGGTTTGATTCCCAGCATCCCATATGGTCCCCCAAGCACCGCCAGGAGTAATTCCTGAGTGCAGAGCCAGGAGTAACCCCTATGCATCACCAGGTGTGACCCAAAAAGAAAAAAGAAAGAAAGAAAGAAAGAAAGAAGAAAGAAAGAAAGAAAGAAAGAAAGAAAGAAAGAAAGAAAGAAAGAAAGAAAGAAAGAAAAAAGAAAGTTTATTCATCGAGGTCAGCCAGGAATGGTGGGTGAGAGACACTCTGGGCTTGGGGCAGAGTGGAGGCCTGAGCAGGCAAACACAGAAACAGAGAAAAGCGAAAGGTGAGGAAGGGAAAACTTCCTTACAGAAGTCAGGCCCCAGCTGCTCCGGCCAAATATGGGCTGGTATGGCCCAAAGAGTTGGGGGCATGTTTCAAAGATGGATCTATGTCCAATGAAAATCCAGAGTTCCGGCTTCTGGAAAGTCCACAACTCTGGCAGTGCCACACCCATGTGGCCACTGGGTCGGTCAACTGGCTGGAGCAAGAGTTGACCCATGTGTGGACAAACAACCCCCAATCCACCTCAGCCCCCTTCTGCCAGCCTGAAGCTGACGGTGCCCTCAGCACACTCCTATATAGTCGCTTCTCAGGCCACCTGCTCCTTTCCCCTAACTTCTCTCCAAAGTGGGAAACACAAGTAGTACATGTCTCATGAAAATGAGCAAGGCGTCACTGGTGGATGGGGCAATACTACGCAGGCTTGCTTCACATCTCACCTGCCCGGCTCGGAACCAAGAGAGCAGTCACCTGCCCCAGAGCACCCCACCCCATCTGTACAGTAAGCCCCCTCTTAGCTTCAACGTAGGCTCTGGAAAAGCCACAGGCTTTTAAGCAAAATGATGCATCAGTAGGAGCTGGAGAGATAGTCCAGGGATTAAGGCACTTACCTTGCATGGAGTCAACTCAGTTTGAACCCCAACACTGCCTATTGTTCCCCCAAACACTGTTATGAGTGATCTCTGAGCACAGAGCCACGTGTAAACTCTGAGCACTGCCAAGTGTGGTCCCCCAAAACACCCCCATAATAAAAATAAAAAGTGTCTAAGGGAAGCAGGTCCTCAAGTAATCAGAGCTGTTTTTGTCATCAGCCTTCTAATTAAATGACAACTGACTCAGGGGGATGTTATTTGGGAACTTGCTATAGTAAAGAAGCACTTCTGGGGCTGGAGCGATAGCACAGTGGGTAGGGCGTTTGCCTTGCACGCAGCCAACATGGCCGACCCAGGTTTGATTCCCAGTATCCCATATGGTCCCCCTAGCACCGCCAGGTGTAATTCCTGAGTGCATGAGCCAGGAGTAACCCCTAAGCAACGCCGGGTGTGACCCAAAAGGCAAAAAAAAAAAAAAAGAAGCACTTATTTTTTGAGGGGTGCTCCTAAACAGTGCTCAAGGGACCCTGGAACCAATCCCAGAGAAGGAGAGAGGGAAAGAGAGAAAGAGATAGAGAGAGAGAGAAAGAGAGAGAGAGAACTGGGCTAAGGCACTTTGCCCTGCCTGTGGCTGACACTGGTTCAATTCCGGCACCTTCACATGGTCCCCTGAGCAGTGCCAGGGATCATTCCTGAATACAGATTGGAACTAACCCCCAAGAATTTCCAGGGAGGTGGCCACAGAGCAGAGGCCGGGAAAAACAAGGAAAGAGCAGGGAAGCGCATGCTAGTCGGGGAAGGAGAGCCAAGCCGACAGCCAAGCTCCCTGTCCCTCCAACTCCACAGTCCTGGGCCCAGCCTGGGAGAACAGCCCCAAGGCACATCATGCAGCCCTGCCCTCCCAGCAGCCCGAGCCCTTCCACACCACAGGCTCCGCCAGCGCTCAGCTCAGCTGCCAGAAGCCTTCTCGGGCTGCCCTGCCGTCACAGAGACAGGGCCTCCAGCTGAAGTAGCTGTGTGGGACAAGGGGGTATTCAACAAAGGGGAGTCTTCTCAGGAGTTCAGCTGCCCCTCACTGGGGCCAAGGGCTTGACAAATAGACAAATGGACCTGCATCTCTCTAAGACCAAACCCACCATGATTTCCTTCTGGAACTTTTCCCAATGGGGACTCCTCCTATAGTGCCCTAACAGCCTATGGCAAGCTGTGACTGGACCCCAAGTAGCTGGGCTCTCTGTGGTCCAGGGGGCCCAGACCCTGCCAGGAAAGAAACATTAGGGGCACCATAGGACCCACAGTGCATGGAGCTAGACCTGCTCAACCATGTCACCTGAGCTCAGGGCTTACCCTGAGCTTCACCCAATCACCAAGAAGGTGGCTGAGTCCCCCCCCCCCCTTGTACAGTGAACATCCACCTGCAGGAGCGTGGTGTCCAGAACCATCAGACTGCCCGTTGGCCTCCATCTGGTCCCTGAGCACTCTTCTTTGGGCACCCAGCACCCAGACATTCTCAACACTGATCTCCTCCTTCCTGGCACTCTGGCGTGCTGCTGCCGTGAGTGATGAGTGACAAAGTGCCCTTGTCTCCCTTCAGAAGACTCCCCCAAATAGTCCATCATGTCTTCATTTAGCCTCCGGAAATCACAGCTGCAATGCAGTTTGTGTGTATTGTGTGTGAGTGAGGTGAATGAGTATGTGTGTGTGTGTGTGCGTGCGTGTGTGTGTGTGTGTGTGAGAGAGAGAGAGAGAGAGAGAGAGAGAGAGAGAGAGAGAGAGAGAAGACTTCTATCCCCTGCTGGATTCCCAAAACCCCCAACATAGAACAAGTGGGGGTACTCTGGCCGCCACTGTCTCCCACACATAGACACAGACACAAACACACAGAACTGCAGGCTCTGGACCAAAGAGTCCCCCGGGGACCAATTCTCCTCACTCCCCCAGACCCTGCTCCTGGCCAGCACAATTCCCAGCCCTACCACAGCAGGGAGGATCTTGGGAGCCATAAATTGAGAGATACTGGATGGACTCATTCACCGCACAGAGTGCCCCAGAAATCCTCAAGGGATTGCCACACAGGAGTTCCTCTCTGGGCCTGACAAGACAACCCTAATGGTTTCCATCCTTCAAACAACTGCCATTGGGAAAAGGATAAATCTTGGGATCCATAAACACTTGGAGTTCAGAACCCTGGTATCAGGGGTCAGGTGGGAGAGCCTGCCACACAGAGGGAGAGGATGCTCAAGGCAAGAGCGATTGGCCCTCCCCACCTCACCCAGGCAGCTGAAAGCCATCATGGGAGAAGGGGCCATCGTTGAACCCACCATGTGTGGTTCAGTCACCTGGTGGACAAGCCCCTGCCCGGCACTGGGTACTTATGATCTTCACCTACATTCTTCAGCTGAACTGGACTCAAATGAGAGAGGCTGGGGTGAGTGCTGCTCATGACTGCAGTCTGGATGGACAGAGGCAGAAGGGACCTCAGCAGCTCCAGGTGAGCAGAGCAGTTGAACCCACAGATCGTGAGACCTTCTCCAGTTCCCCTGGCAAACACGTCCAGCCTGCTGAGTTAAACTCAC